TAGTTGTAAGAGGATTAGCTTCAATGATTGCTCTCAATTGGTCGTTGTCAACTTCCTATGGCCGGCCACTACACTCCTTATCTTCAAGGCTCTCGTCTCCTTTGCAAAACTTCTTGAACCACCGCTGCACTGTATGTTCATTAGCAGTTCATGGGCCAAATGTGGTGTTGATGTTGCAAGTTGTCTCCGCTGCTTTACGACCCATTTTGAACTCCAATAACAAAACTGCTCGAATTTGCTTTTGGTCTAACATCATTTCCATGGTATAAAATACATATAAAATAAACAGCAAGTAATAAGTCATTAGCAAAAAATAAATAAAGCAAGAAATGCACATTAAAATGATGTATAACATAACCACATTTATTTAAGAATGTATTCTAATATCAAAGGCAAATTACAACAATGCAAAAACTGCAATTGTTTGCACCAACCTAACACAAGTCCTTTTAAGTTGCCGAAACAGCTCCTGGCTCCAGACCAGCTAGTGTGTGAATTTATGATGCAATCTTCTTAGACTAGTCATACCTGAGGCAGAAATGATCCTTTGTGTCTCTTGCGTAACTGTATGAAGTGCTAGATGTTTGAGTATACCCATGGGGTGAGGGCTGAGCCAATTCCACATGCTGGAGGCTCTCAACCACTGGAGAAGTTTGGCTATACGTTCCATGCTGATTGTCTTTAAATATTTTGAGTTCCTTGTCGATCATGCATTTTGATATTCCCATTAAATGAAAGTTTCTCTTGAGAAGAAAACAGCATGGACTATACACACGATTTCAGGAAACACTAGGTAAATATTGGGTTGTCGGAAAAGTCATGTCGTATTTTGTCTATGTTTTTCAAAGGTCATTTATTTACATAAAGAACAAAGATCAATCAATGTTATATTGCCCGTTTTGTTCAATAACCTTTTGCCATCTTTCAGTGAGCTTCATAATTCCTCGTTCATAGAAGGACCTGTCTTTATTTGTGAGAAACTGAACAAGGCGCTGATTTACAACCTCATCTGAATTGAACGTTATACCATGCAGGGAGTTTTGAAGAGAGTGAAACAAGTGGAAGTCTGACGGCGCAAAGTCAGGTGAGTATGGTGGGTGTGGCAACACATCCCATCCAAGCTCCAATCATTTTTGACGGGTGATCAAACTTGTGTGTGGTCTTGTGTTGTCACGATGGAATACAACTCCTTTACAATTAACAAGCTCTGGACATTTCTGGATGATGAATTCATTTAAATTGTCCAACTGCCGACAGTACACATTAGAATTGATTGTTTGGGTCCTCAGTAGGAGCTTGAAAAACACGACACCTTTAAAATCCCACCACACTGAGAGCATAACCTTCCTTTGATGAATGTCTGCTTTCAATGTCATTTGAGGCAAATCATCACATCAGGACCAAGACTGTTTATGCATCACATTGTTGTCAACAATCCACTTCTCATCACCAGTTATCAGTCCCTTCAAAAGGCATCATTTTCTTCATGCTTAATGAGCATATTGCAGATGTTTATATGCGCCATCAAATGAACTTCTTTGAGTTCATGTGGAACCCAAATATCGAGCTTGCTTACATTTCCCAGCTTCTTCAGGTGGTCATGAACGCTTGAATGATGGATGTTCAATGTTTCTGCCATCTCTCGTGTCATGTAATGTGGGTTTGACTCCATCAATGCCTTTTTTTTGTTGTTGCCATCAACCTCGGTGGGCCTCCCTGACCGAGGAGCATCGTTGAAATCAAAATCACCAGCACGGAATTTCGTGAACCACCGTTGGCACTGACGTTCTTGTAGAGCATTGTCACGGCAACTTTTCACAAGCTTGATGCGCGTTCTTCCCTTTATAGAATGTAAAACAGTAAAATATGGCAAAAATGCACAGTTTGGTCTTCCATCTTCAACTTGTTGTGAAATCTCCAAAACTCAACCAGATCGTTCAATTTTTTTTTAGAATGAAGCTAGAACTCTCAGCTGTCAAATGACATAGCAATAACATAGATGCGAATGACTCTAGTACTTCCAAAAATGAACTAGTGCCATCTGTTGCAAACATGAGTCATGACTTTTCCGACAACCCAATATTTAACCTGAGTCTCATTTATAAAACAAGGTAGGATCATCTGTTCTGCCTAACCTCGCAGTTTTGGAGATCACATGATACAACTCATGTGGAAGTTCTTTGGAACCTGAAAGACAGAATTATGATAATATTTGGGGTAAAGTTTCTCGACCCTGAATTCAGTCCTTCTTCCTTTGGGTGGGCAGGTTTGTAAGAACTTCACTATCACTTCTCAACTATTAAAAAACTATTTAAAAAATTAAAAATAAGAAACCACAAAAGATGCCAAATAGCCAAATAAGCCCAGAGAAAGAACAACAAAGATGGAGGTACTAAAATTCCTGATTTTAAACTATGTTACAATGCTACAGTAATCAAAACAGTATGGTACTGGCATAAGAACAGACACAGACCAATGGAAGAGCATAAAGACCCCAGAAATAAACCTACACATATACAGTCAACTAATATTTCACAAGGGCATCAAGAACACAAAACGGGGAAAGGAGAGTCTCTTCAACAAGTGGTGTTGGAAAAACTGAATGTCCATCTGTAAAAGGATGAAACTGGACCCTTACACCACTCACAAAAACTAACTCAAAATGGATTAAAGAGTTGAACATAAGACCTGAAAGCATAAAACTTCTATAAGAAAACATAGGGGTAAGCTTCTTGACATCCGTCTTGGTGATGATTTTTTTGGATTTGACACCAAAAGCAAAGGCCAACAAAAGCAAAAATAAACAAGTGGTTCTACATCAAACTAAAAAGCTTCTGCACAGCAAAGGAAACCATTATACGATATTGGTTAAGAGATCTTGCTTCTTTGCCTAATCAATCCTGCGTAAGGAAAAACACAAAACTCGGTAGGTAGTAGGGAGAAGCCATTAATCCTTCCTACAGTGTCAAATTACTTTTGTCCTATGTCTAAAATATGCAATATACGGAGTGGACTTTCATTATTAACTGTGGACTGACTTACACGTGCTATGAGAGTAGAACAGTGTCATCGATAATCCCCTGACAAGAAAAAACAACAACTTTGCAAAGTCCTAAATGCAATTATAGCAGGCTGGAGGGTAGAAGGAAGAGAAGAGAGGTTAATCAGTTAACAACTGCAGGACAAAATCATTAAAAGGCTGCTTACATTCCTGAATGAATGTTGCAACTCTGAGTTAACTTTCAGGCAGCTATTTGCACAATTATCAAAAGAGAAGAGCCAGTAGACCACCAGCAGACACAACTGACCACCAGCACCTCCATTATCTTGCTATGCATGAGATGTTTCCAGACTGTTGCCCACAACCGGTCCTCAAAAGCAAATGCTTCCTTACTATGTACCTACCCCAGAACTAGTCCCTCTTCACTTTTTCCCATGCCCTTTTTATCCATAGCCAGCGTAAATTCTTTGAAAACAACTTGCATCTCTCTTCTCCAATCTTGAGATGTGAAGGAGCCTGTCAACATCAGGAGTATGCGCACACAGCCCTGCTGCTGGTGGTGCAGACGGCGCATCCCAGGACCCTGTCCTTTTCTGGCTGGCATCTGGCTCCATAAACCCTTTCTTTCAGAAAAGCTTTTGGCCGTGAAAGTTTTTTTGTTTAACACCCCCAAAGCAGATAATTCAAAAATCATTTCTATTTAGCTGTACAAAAACAGTTTCTCTTCCTAATAATTTTTCCATTGGCTAATATAATACTGGGTATGCTTTTCCTGTGGTGATTTGACTATTGTAAGGAAATATGTACCAGACACATATTTGGCCCAAGGAGACCAACCTGGAGTCAGAAAACTGAATAGTACACAAGTTAAAGTTCAATGTGTAATATTGCTTCAAGGGCCTTGCTTCAGAGTCCTATGCAAACAATAACAGAGTGGGGAGGACGGATAGGTAACCAAAAGGAAGTAACCAAACAGTCAAGATTCTGGAGGGGCGAACAAAAGGTCATAGTAAAAAAAAAAAAAAATGTACCTTTTTTCCCTGCAAACTGTCTGGTTAAGAGCCAGAAAACAACACAGTTTATTTGGGGCAGGGCATAGACAAAAGGGGGAGCAGTGGGTTTGTTGGACTGAAGTGGGTGGGTTTTCAATGTAATATAAAAATGAACTGTTCAATGAATTAGAGTGGCTCATTCAGAAAGGGTGGCTTTGTGTGTCTTGGGGTTCGCCATCACTGGCTGTGTTTAAGCCTAAGTGGCATCGTCTTGTGAGAAATGTCAACAGTATTCACTGCACCCTTCAGCCCGGAAATGTTTATTAAAGCTCACTCTGAAAGGTGCGTACAGAATACGGAGAGGAATCAAATGGAGTTCTCTCTGCCAGTGTCAAAGCAGTGCTTCTTACACTTGAATGTGTGCACACTTTCCCCTGGGGACCGTGTTAAAATGCAGCTGCTGATTCTGTAGGATGGGGCCCGACTCGGCATTTCTAACAAGCTCCCCGGTGATGCCTACCTATGCTGCCAGTCTGTGTAAGGCATGTTGAGTGCCACGGGTTTCTAGGAGGGAATGAGGCACGCATATCATCATAATACAAAGTAAGAACCGGTAAATAGCACGTTAAATTTCATTAGTTACCAGTAAAAGCCCGGGTGTGTCCCCAACCTGCGAGAATCCCAGCCGGGACCCTAGGCCAGACAGGCTTATTCTAAAAATAACCCAGCCTTGAAAAATAAGGAAACACCTGACTGTAACAGCAGACTGAAACACCAGACTGTAACTCAATGTCACAAGACGAGACATGAAATATAACTTTTGCCATAATTTAGCTTAAAACATTTCAGAAAGAACTGCTGTTGTTTGCTTCTGTACACATGCTTTGCTTCTGCTTTTTACCTAATCCCCCTAATCACAACAAGCCCTATAAAACGTCCCCTGCCACAGTCACGGGGCGTTCTCAAACACTTGCAGAGTGAGGCGGTCGCCAGGCGTGGCTGAATAAAGGTTTTGGAACGCAAACTCTGTCTCTTAGGTCATTTTTAAGAAGTAAGGACCTAACAAACCCAGGACGGGTGTGTGCCCTTTTCTGCCCTCAGAGTTCCTCCTGTTGTTTTTGTCGGTGCGCTCTTTCTTGAATTGCATTTCTTCCGAGGTTGTTCATTGTATATGCCATTTCTTAGCTTAACATAGCTCTCTCCTCTTTGGACTAACATTTTACTAAATTTATCAAGGTTTTACTAGTTTATCAAGCTTTATTTCCTAGTCACTCCTTCCCTGGGGCCCCAGTCGGGGATGACAGCTCCCTGCAGCACTTAGTTTTTGCCTCGACCAACCCTTCGGCTTTCAGTGGCAAGTCCGTTTTCCTATTCCCTCTGGATGCCACCTCTCCGGGTCGCCTGTCACAAAGACGCGCTCCAGACGACGTTTGTGGAACCTGAGGCCAGGTGAGGGGGCCGAGAAGAAAACCCGTCTCCTCGGGGTACCGAGCACCGGAGCCAGGATGGCGGCCCCGAGTGTCATTAGGAGACCGTGTGGGCCGCTAGGCAGGCCCGGGCGCTCAGCGCACCAACGTTTCCCGGTGCAGTCTCGCCGGGCGGGCCGGGCTCGGGCTGTCGCCGGCAGCCGGCCGGGAGCCCCCGCCGAGCGCCGGAGGCCGCACGACTGCCTACCATGGAGGCGGCGGCGGCTAGAGAGGCCGGCGGGCCCGGGCGCGGCGCGGCCGCAGGGAACGCGCGGGGCGGGTCCGCACAGCCGGCCTTGTAGCCATTTTAGGAGGAAACCCGGCTCGCTGGCTCCGCGCGTGCCTTCAATTTCAATAACTTTATGCGTGGCCTTGGCCGCAGGACACCCATCGCGCCGGCGGCCCAGGGAGGAGGGAGCGCATCGCGGGAGGTGATCGGGGTGGGGGCGTGAGCGCCGGGATGCAGGGGAGTCCCCGAAAGCGGGTTTCCTGAGCGGCGGGGGGGAGGGGGTTCGGGGCGCTCCCGGAGGCGGGGGAGGGAGGGGACCCCGGGCGCGGCGTCCCTGCGGCGCCGGGGATTCCCTAGCCCGTGTCCCCAGGCGCAGGGGCGGGGCCGGGGGCGCCCCTGACGTGGCCGCTGGGGTGTTCCTCGCACGGTGTTTTTCCCCCACGGCAGGTGGCCCCCGACACGAGCCGCAGCCATGGGAAACACCACCAGCGACCGGGTGGCCGGGGAGCGCCACGGCGCCAAGGCAGCGCGGGCCGAGGGCACCGGCGGCCACGGCCCGGGCAAGGAGCATAAGATCATGGTGGGCAGCACGGACGACCCCAGCGTCTTCAGTCTGCCGGACTCCAAGGTGAGCGCCCCTTCGCCCCCGGTGGGTGGCGATGCTGCAGCGGGCTGGGGGTCAGGGCGCCTCCTCCCTTTCTGAGTCCCTATCACACTGATCTAGTTTACGGGTTTTTTTAAAGGGATTTTTTGGGGACGGAGATGTTGGATGGTAATTCCTCTTGCGGTACTGCCTCAAAATAGGGTAGACGTGGGGTTCTTGTTTTGCGACTAATCTGTTGGCCACATTTTTAGGATGAGGATAGTAGGATTACCCCCCCCCAATCTTTTCGTTCTCCTAACAGGCACGGTGCCCTCTATTCTAGAGTATTGATGAATTTGTAGGTTGTAAGCGCTGGTGGAAAACTTCAGAGGTTGCCTGAGTGTCTGACCGTAGGGCAGTTTCTCACATTTGCCCGGAGCTTAGTAAATGGGTTTCTTGTTCCTCTATGTGTCAGTATCATTTTGGCCCCGGTAGGAGCTCAGCACTTCTGATCTTTCCCTTTGGCTTGACTGTGAGCAGCAACCACTTGCTTATTTGAATACTTTCTCCTAGTCTTGGAGATCCATAAAGGACATCGCTGCTCAGTTTTTGTCCCATACTTTATAGTTGTGGTGGCTGAGGTTGTGCTTCTTTCGTGCCCAGCCGCTCAAGTGGGAGAACAAATGATTCCAGAATTTCTCCACTTGCCAGTAGTACCTCATTATGTCACCATGGCTGAAAGCAGGACACCCCACGCTGCCCCGAAGACCTTGCACTCAAGTCCGGGGACTGTGAGGAGAGTGGCAGCTTATTGGCACCCTGCAGAATGGACAGACGGAGCTCACAGCACTGTGATTACCATCCAAATGCTTCTTATCACTTGGAGAGTTATCAGCATTAAGAACATTAAGGCTGACTGTATGTTAAGGCCCACTGGGCTGAATTAGAAAAATGGAGGGATTGAGGAGACGAGTGTCTTTGATGTTTCCGGTGCCTTCCCACGAAGTAAATGGAGCATGATTTGTCACATGGAATTTGCTTATTTTCATGGATCCCAACTGAGAACATAATCAGATGTGAGAGTGATCAAAAGCACCATTTCTTGGGGTTTCTTCTCCCACTTCAGGACTTCTTCCTCCTCATTTGGGCTGTCTACTCAGGCATCCGAATTTTCTTCTTCAGGGCTTTCTCAAGGTGACCTCCCTCACTGCATTTTTACCCTTTTCCTACATTGATGACTCAGGATTTAAGTACAGTGTATTTGTCAAACTGTGACTGCAGTAATCGGTGTCCTGAATGCAAGCCAGGTTGCTCTGTCGGCAATGGAGCCTATTTGAGATCATTCTCTCCCTTACCCCAGTCTTGCCGTTAGTGAAATAAGAAAACTGGTTCAGATCATTCCTAAAGTCGCTTCCAAATCTAAAATTTTATAGTTCTCAACCTACTGCCTTTACGTCTTCCCTCAATGTTTTACTTAAACGTTTCAAACTGTAGTTAGAATTGTCTCTTTTCCTAGTGATTTTGCTGACTGTTTAACTTGGAGTAAACAGCCTTTCTGCTAGTCATCTGCACTCGTGCCTGCCACAGAAATGTCCTGTCATAAGTGGAAGGGCTTTCTTCCAAATGAGGCATATTAATAGTTTGTCGCTTTCACATTCTAAATCGAAAATCATAAATCATAAAAGTAACTGGCAATGGGGCCTACATTTGAATGCCCAATTTGCACATGAAAATCACCCGAGATTTGCTTAAACACTTTGTGGAAAATTGGAAGCATTTTCCATGTTTCAAAGCAGGGAGAACAGTGTGCTGAACTCCCAAATACCAACTTAAACAATGATCAAATCGTGAATGAAATAATATCATCTCTACCCCAGTCCACTCCCCCGACCAATTATTTTGAAGCAAATGACAGACTTATCAAACATTATTTTATCTGTAACTATTTTAGGACATATCTCTAAAGAGGTGTTTTTATTTATTCATTTTAACATATCATAGCATTAGTATCTAGGAAGCTTTTAAAAAAGATTCCCAGGCCATATATCTGAATCAGAATCTGGAGGTTAGTCTTAGGCATATGTAAACATTTCTGTAATTGTAACTCAGCCGGTCAGCAAGAGTGCATTGCTTTAACAATATGGAGATTGAGGTTTTCTCTTAAGCCACTTCCTTATATAATGTGAAAGTCCCTTCAATTCTCTTTCTCTGTTTTCTTCAGATTATGCTGGTATGTCATAGTGCAGTTTTGAGGAATATCGAGAGATAATATGCAAAGTAGACTACCCCAGCCATTTTGAAAATAAAGCCCAAAAGAATAAACTAGTCCCTTTTTTTAACCCTATTATTTGATTTGGTAATCTTTTGATTTGATACTGTACAGTCTTATTTATGTATTTACCAAAGTCTTTGAAGCCATTGTAAAGTGGGGATCAGCCAACTTTTTCTGAAAAGGGCCAAACAGTAAATATTTTAGACTTGGCAGACCATAGAGTCTGCCACAACTACTCAGCTCTGCCTCTGTAGCATGAGAGCAGCTGCAGAGAACAGGTATATGAATGAGCGTGGCTCTTCCCCAGTAAAACTTGACAAAAACATCTGGCTCACTGGCCGTAGTTTGCCAGCTCCTGTTCTAAAGGATGGTATATGGAGCAGAGACTGTTTCAAGACATGATCTCTGCCTGACCCTCAAGCTAGATCCAGCTAGATGATGGCCAGAACGGAGCTTGCTCCCTGTAAACCCTCTTGACCCCTCCGCTAGGGATTACCCAGGCACACTTCCCCCTGATCTGGGGCAGCTCACACCCCCAGGACCCCTATCCATCCAGTCCTGTTCTATATGATTCCTTAGTGCCTGCACCAGGACGCGGAGTATACCCACGTTGTCTTGCCAACGCCAAACACACATGCCTCATATCTAAGTTCCCTTAATAAACTCCTGATATAATGGAGTTGTCAGCCTCTCTTCAGTCGCTCAGCCCTGAGAAATCTTCCCAACACGGTAATGAAAAGAAACTAAGTAAGGAGTCAGTTTTTTTCAGAATCCTACAGACCTCATTTGATATTGGAACTGCTTTTGTTAAAGGAAGCTGTGTCTTTGATCTGATGTTCCCTTAGGCTCCAGAATTTTCATCCCTACTGAAATAATGAGTATAAAGCTGACATAGGTGAGCAAGTAAAATTTCATAACCACTTCTCACAATTTAAGAAACCAGTGATCTGGTTTTTATATTTTTAATGTCCTTTGTAACCTACTTGCTAAAACGGACCTTATGAATTTCAGTAACTCTAAGTTCCAGCACAACTGATAATTGAGAGCTGTTCATATTTGCATGTGAAAAGTACACGGCTACCTTAATTACTTTTTATAGAACCATACTTTGTTTTCATATTCTTTTTCCTCTTAAGAGGCACTCAGACACATACCATAATTGTCTGCCTATGAGTTAATCTGGTAATAGGGAGTAAGCTTTTATTTTTAAGGAAGATCCTAAGGCTCTGAAAGGGTGAGTGACATATGCAGACCTGGAGATTAGGCTGTGATTTGGGCAGCCCTTGAGCACAAGCCATTGGACCATCTTGGTCCTAGATGAGTTCTTTTTCTATAATTCGTTCAAAACCTGATTTAGTTGCTAATTTCAGGGCTCACTGATCCTTAGCGGAAACCTAGCACCCCTCTCTGCCCTAGGGAGGAGAG